CATAGGTCAAGTGGTGGGAGTTCAAGCTCAAGCATAGCCTTGGACCCACACTCAAAGCAGAATGTGGATACATACTTAAGGACTTCCTGTTACATCTCTTGCACCAGTGGAAACCACCACGCTCCACTCAAGTCAAGTGAACTGCACTAGCAGAAATGAGAGAATCCAATACACTGGACCTCCAAGGGAATTAAAAGAGAGACGACAACACTTTCCCTGCAACACTTCACACACACAGAAAGTTAACGTGTCTAATTAAATGTGCCCCTTTCGGCATACAGACTCACAGGAGAGACTGCAACATCTTTTGTAGAAGTTATTGATTTCCTCTTTCTGGTAAAGAGTAGCAACAGCACAAGTGCAAGGTGCAATATGGTAACCCAGAAGATTATGATAGTTAACAACAGAGGAAGTGATTAAGGAGATGAGAGAAATAAAACAGTATATTTTCCTTAGAAAGATAGCAAACTGCACAGCAACTTCAAGGCTCTGAAACTAGGGAGAAGAGGGAATAAAATATCCTGAACAATTCTGGGTGATGAGCAGGTGGAACTGAGCTAGGAAAAACACCTGTGACAATGTTAAGTCATTAGTCACATAGGAACTGTGACGGCTGCATTCCATAAGGATTACAAAAGCAGCTCCTGACGCTTTGGTGTGGTGAGGGTGTCGACTGACAGGTGCCAGTTTGGGATGTAGGCCACTCTCTGCAAGGTTCTGGTGGTTTGGTGAACACCATTGTGGGTGTGTCCTACAAAGGTAAAGGAGGTGGTTGCAACCAAGGCAGGAAAAAGTGTTCTGAGATTTAATTACTTACATCAATAGCAAGGAAGAAGAAAGGAAGTAAGAGTCACATCCCAGAGGGAGCCATGGGCAGCGTCTGAAGTAATCACTATAAGTACTGAACGCCTGAACATAAGAACTGGTCGATGCGGTTTGTCACTAGGGCTGTGTGTGAAGATCAGGTAACATCAGAGGCTTGTGGCTCTTATGGTTTCCAAGGAGCATGAATTAAGGATAAGACAAAAAGATCAACTAAAGGAACTCCAAGCAGCAATCAAATCAGTTCAAGGAGATTCCTGGAACAAGTTTTGAGAGCTCGAACATCCTGGAAACTTCCAAGAAGAGGAAGGACCTCTGAATTATAATGTAAGTGGAGATACATGAGATCACACACCAGATATAGTGCTGCCAAATGTGAAAGGTTTCAGAGGTTTCCTTTCAAGATAGGGCTAGAGCGAATGTTTTATAAGTAAGTACTCTTTTAGTCTTCATGCTATCAAGACAGTATTTCAAAAAATGATGTGAGAAGCCAGTTTTTTGTAAGGTCTAGTTTAGTCTTTGAGTTGCTACCTTATAAACACCTGTTAAAGCTTAATTTCTGTTTCTTTTTCATTTTTGTTTTCTTTGTAAGTGAAAAATCAGACTACTTTCTTTAAGTCTTTACTGAGAGCTAAAACGTGATCAGTGGGACTCAGCAATCCTAAACAGAATTATTCCTCCCCACAAAAATGTCACTTTACTACCTGTATACTTTGAAGTGAGACTCGTAATAAAAACTACTATATTGACAGTTGTGAAGATAGAAAGGCTTAGAGTTTGCACTGTTTAAAAAAAAAAAAAACTACCCATATTTAGTACTTTTTTTTTTTGAAAGAAAACTTTTGTTCATGCTTAAATAGTCAGAGAATATGGAGTTGGCTAACAAAATAGGCAAGCAGAAATTTGTTCCTAGTGGGACTTTAGGATTTCACATAAAGATCAGATGTGTTTTAGAGATAATTTGAGACTTTAAAAAAAAAGAAAAAAAGAAAAGACATAACTGTTAAACAAAACCAGAAGTGACATTAACCAAGCTGGAAGTTAAGAAATAAGGAAGTGCCCCTTTTCCTTCATATGGTTTGTACCTCCCACCACACTCCCTCTTTCCTCATCCTTAAAGATAACTTATTCATGGCACACCTATTATTCTTTGTAGGAAGTTCTACTTGTCTTGGGATTCTATAAAATGTATTTCCTCTGAGTAAATAATTTTGGTATCTCCTCCCATAATTACACCCACGCTGAGCAGGAACATTGGCATTAGACATACGTATACTATAGGAACTGGCTAATTCATTTGACAAGTTTACAGGTATTAATAACAACTGCTAAATACCTCTCCTTTCTCCTGAATTTCAGCTGACAGTAAAAATAGGTTTTCTTATTTGTTTGTTTTTTATGATTACCGTGAATTGGACATCCTTCAAGAACAAAGTAGAAGGTGCATGCAATTCACATAAGCTGAGGGAATGGCAGGTGAGTTCTGTATGTCATTTGCTTCCCTTCAATGTCTTCTTTACTCAAAAAGTGTTTCCTGAAGATAGATGCCCTGTAGGTATCTGCACAGATTTCTTATCTGGAAGAAATTTTATATTCTAAACTGTTCTTGAACTTCACTTTTAATGGTTTATTGTTATTATCAAATCTATTTGAGGATAAGCTCTAAACTGAGCAGAAAGTGTTTTCGGGGCGGGGGGGGGAGGAATCACATTATTTCAAAGACCCCACCCAGAACTCTATCTTGCTCCCTTGCTTTTTTAAATAGCCTTTCAGAGACATTTTGTGCTTTATTTTGCATCAGCAAAATTAGTAAAAATCCCATCTATAGGCTACATGCTCCCAGCTCCAATAGGATGGAACTAGATTATACTCCAGTACCGTCCCACACTTTGTGTGGATGTTTATAAATACTTTCAAAGATGTGTTAAAACCCTGCTAAAGCAGAATAGTAATGACAGTATCTCTGCTTTGTATTATTAGAGATCGTTATTTAAAGGGAAGAGGACTGGTGAACTGGGCAATTGGAAGACAGGTTTACCTTTTGTTCAGTGATGAAATGAACCTTTTGAACTCAGTTCCCCATGTTGCTGGGGAAACAGCAGCATAATGCAGTTTACCATCATATTGTCCCAAATAGTCAGGCTAAAGGCTGTCTCTTTCAGCCCATTGCTACTTACTACATTACTTCTCTGTAGTTGTGGGCTACAAAAAAAAATCTTACTTCTTTATTGCATTTAATTATGGCACTTCATTCTCCCCTCTCACCCCGCACCCCGTAAGTTAGATTTTGCTTTTATTTCTTCTACAAAGGTTATATATAAAGTTGTAGTGCAATATGCAGCTATATTGTTTCAGATCTGATTTAGTTTCTCACTGCTGTGCTATATGGTATGAGATAGATAGACTTAGAAACTTGTTTGAAGATCCCTACCATAATACTTTGTTCTGTAGGCCTTAACCCATCCTTTTCATCCCACTCTTCTGTTGTTTTTCTTAGAATTCCCTTTAATTGTTGTAGCTGGTCCCCCCTCTTCCCCTCCAAAGAAAAAAATGTCACTGCGTTTATGATACTAGCATTAATAAAAGTGATTGGGGAGAATCTCCACTAGGATACTTCTCCAGAGCATAAGCCAAAACTTGCAACACTATACTCCAACCATGCTTTCTAGAGTATCACAGGATACATATAAATATATATATATAAGCCCGAAGGACAGCGCCTCTCTGAGCTCCTGAGGACAATATAACTCTGCACAAGTTTGAGCATGACAATAAAGCACGAGCAAGAGAAGGCGAAACAATCTTGCAGGTAGAACCGCATAAGTACTCACTTGCCAAAAAGTTAGTACAGCATTTAAGATGGTAACAGCCATGATAACAGTATGTGCAGAGGAAGACCTTTGATATCCAAAGAACCCCAAGCACACTGCAACCAAGTCATCAAGAACCCCTCTAGGATATTAGGGCAGTGCATACTAGAACATGAATCCCAGTGGTCAGTCTGTCACCTTTGGGCAGAACTAAATTCTGTCAAATGACTTCTTGTCTAAAACTCTGACATATGGCCACAGATATCTTTTGTTCATTTTTATAAGTCTCTGACCATGTATTTTTCCCTACTCTAGGCCAGATAGCAGAAGCAAAATGTAAGCAGTAAAAGTAAAACATTCTAATAGCCGTTTCCAGGATATTTATATATGTTGAAAATATAGAGGGACTACTAACCACCTCAGCAACTTCATAATGCCACCTGACAACAAATGCCTTCTTTCCATGCTGGCTGCCTCTTAATGTCTTTTCTCTTATTTTATAGATCTGACACCAACACATATTAGCTGGCAACCATCAGTAAATGCAGGCGCACACCATACTGACAGATATGTCAACACAGAATTGACTGTGAGGCGAGGACAAGCCTTCGCTATTACCCTGTACTTCAACAGGCCACAGCAGACTGGGGAGAGTTTAGCATTTGTCACTGAAATAGGTAACACTCTCTGATCTTACTCCACGCTCCAGCAGAGCTGTACTTGTTATCCCTTGTAATTCTTCTCTTATTCTGTTTAGAAATGCAGTCTTTCTTCATGTATTTTTAACCTTTTTTCCCCAATGAGCTCATTTCAAATGTAAGATTAATACCGAAACTATGCTCTGAAACACTAAGAAATTACCCAAAGTAACATAAATATTGCTGCACCTCTTCTCTCTGGCAGGACCATCCCCCTCGGAATCTCATCATACAAAGGCTGTATTTAACCTCTCTGAAGTGGGGGCTAGCGGCTGGAGTGCTGTCCAGGGACCCAGTGAGTCTGGCTATACAAACTTTACAATAACCAGCCCAGCCAATGCTGTCATTGGGCGATACAATCTCATCCTCCAGGTAACCTCTGGGAACAAGATATTCTCCAGATTCCTGGGGCAGTTTGTGATGCTCTTTAACCCTTGGTGCCCAGGTAGGTACTGATACCCCTGCTCTTGAATGTAACTGACCTATTTGCTTTCACATCTGCACAACAAGCTTACTTCATTCATCCAGCTTGCTCGCTCACTTTGGGTTGTTGGGGTAGCACTCTCAGCTATCTGTTCATAGACCTAGTTTTACTACATTAAAACACTCCCCCTTCCCCCACCTGCAGCTTTTTTCTAGTGAAATACGCTATAGCATGTGACATCATAGAGTCTTTCTTCAGGCCTGAGCAGATCATTTTTTCCACAGGCAAGGGCTGACAGACTTTTATAAGTACACATACTTTTCAGGACTTATTTAAGCATGCAGTAATTCCTTTTACTTGCACCTAAATCAAAGCAAGACTGCTCTTGCAAGTATTGCCTGCAAGGATGAAGGCTCAAGTAACTTTCTACAAACTGATGGAGGACTGGCAAGAAGAAAGATTGGCATTTGCCATATATTTCATCATAGCTTTTTGTGGGACATCTCTACTGCACCCATTTTTAATTTCTACAGCCTCGGCATATTGCAGAGGACATACAAATTCCTAAACTCAGGTTTTGAAAATCTATGATAGTCTAGGAACCCAGATTAGCCTTAAATGAAACCACTCGAGAGCCAAGGGATCTCTTAGTCACCTGAACGACTACAAATCTTATGTAACAAGAGAAAATAAAAGTAATCATAATCAGCCACTGTTTTTTTTCTGTGACTATGTTAGTCAAGGGCCACTAATAAATATGGCAAGAGGAGAGATCAAAAAAACTCCTACTTAGCTCAGCATATCTTGGAAGACAGAATAACAACTACAGAATTATATTTCAGAGACTCAGGCTGTCTCTATGTAGACAGTCCTGAGGGAATAACCTCTGTAGAACCTCCTGAAAGATCGCTTTGTTGCATAACTTCTAATAGCTGGAAAATGCACTACAGAGAGAAAAATTTGACAGTTCCTGAACTGGAACAAAAGAGTAAGAGTGGTATCATAAGACCAGGCAAATTGTTATCAGCTGAAAACTGAACAAAAAAGTTAAGCTATATTATTCTAATTTAAAACTAGCGATTTGGCAGGAGAGCCCTCCAAATTTATCAGATAGCAGAGTGGCCACTGTCAAACAAAAGGGAGTACTCTTAAAGCAGGATGCTGCTGAATGAGTTTCTGCAGAGCATAACAGTTCCCCAATACTGACAAAGGGAACAAGTTCTGTTTGAGGGTGTGTTATGATTGCGGTTAGCAACACTGTAGATAGAAAAGCTTTTCTCTCAGTAAAGGATAAATGGCCGATCTAGTGTACCTGGTCTGTAGTAAACCAATTGATGTGGTTCCACATTGGAGTTAATTCATCTTTTCCAATTTAATGAATAAATTCATGAACTGTAATGAGTAAACAACTACTTTCAAGAAAACAATCCGGATCAGAAATGAAAGGAAAAGCACTGGACTGGAGAGAAGTTGCTAGTGGATCCTTAAGTGTCATCTGAAATAACATTCTGATTAAATGTTTCATCAGTGACCTTGGTACACAAAGAAGTATGTTGACATTAAACAGCACTGTCCATACACAGATGCACTGGGACACCACAAAGGAATAGCTGGATGACCTTAGGGACTGGAGTAGTAAAAAAGGGATGAGAAGTGAACATACAGAATAAAAGACCTTGCCTTTAGGAGGATATAACAAGAATTTCAACAAAAGGTAGGCAGCTCATCAGCTTGAAATCATGAAGAACATTAATGTACTTGTTGATTGAAAGCTGAGAAAAAGTGAAGTGGCCTTGAGAAAGGCCAATACAATCTTAAGGTGTGTAAGGAGAAACAGTTGCTCAGAAATGTAAATATTAACGCTGTTGTACAATGACATGACGAGATCTCATTTGGAATACTCTTCCAATTAATCTTTCCTGAACCGGAATTATGAGTTAGAACATGTTCAGAGAAGGGTTATTAGGATTGACTGAAAGCATGGAAAGCTTATCAGGCAGGAGAACTATATTACAATGTTTAGTTTAGCAGGCAAAAAGCAATTAGTTTCACAGGTTGTACACTTGAAATAAACTGATCTTCCTACAATGGTAACAAACTAATAAATGTATTTACGCACTAAAGTACTTGTTTCATACCTGTAGATAAAGTGATAGTGATGTCTAAACATTAAATATCCTTACGAGACTTTAGTAGGGACAGACTATGCGATATCAACCATTTTAAGACACTTGCAAGCCAGCCTCTGATAATGATGCATCAGATTTCAGTGCTTTTGAAGGAATGTAAAGTTAACTCCTAGAATAAGAAGTTCTAATTGTGAGTGAAATGACTGGTCATATATAGCTTATCTATAGCTCAGAAGTAAACATGCCAATTTTAAAGTTCTAAGGATAAAAGAATATGCTTGAAAACTGTTGTATATGTTCTTCAGTAGATGATGCCTGATATTTGTCCCCACTTGTTTCTGTGGCAAAGTTCACAAGAAGAAATTACGAGAGGTGTACCTATGTTAGAAAGCTTACTTACATAATGATTAAGATTATATTGATAAAAACTATCAATATAAATTTACATCTTGCTTGTTTTGTGCTGTGCTAGGATAAGCTTTAATAACTTTATAATGTGAGGACTGAAAATATAGTAAGCTTGTATTAAAAGGAATTTATTTAATAAAGAATTAGGTATTTGCAGTAGTCTTCCTTTAACAATCAAAAAAATGACTATTCCTGTAGGCTGCTCCCCCCCCCACCCTCCTTGTCTGCTTGGAGTCACAGAAGGAAGAGTGATTACTATTTAGTCATACTTGACGGGAGCAGATTTTTGTTTTTAATTCTTGCTTTAAGTAATGTTAATTGCACTCTGATATATTGGCAGGAATACTTTTTTTTTTTTTTTTTAAATAACTAAGTAAGCATACATATTTGAAGGACTGGCTCTACAGCATTATAATTGAGAGCATATAAACCTTAGAAACAAAATGTTCCTTAGCTGATTAGGAAGGACGTTTGGCTTTCTCAGAATCACAAACTCATAGAGCCGGATAGGCCTCAGGAAGTTATCTAGTCCTACACCATGCCCTAAGGCAGAATCAATATCACTTAAACATCTGTCGGAAATGGCCTAATTCCTTCTTAATGCCTGATCATTAGAAAACTCCAGTACCTCCCCAGGCAATTCTCTCCAGTGAGACACTAGGCTTTCCATTAGTATTTTTTTCCCCTAACATCTAACCAAATATTTCTTGCTTCAATTTCAGCCAATAACTTCTTGTCCTACATACAATGGACACCAAGAACAGATTTTTTTTTTTTTTCTCCTCTTCCCATTTTTTCTTTTTCCTGGAATTAGTTACCATGTTTCCTCCACCTCTTGGTCCCATTTTCCCCACCACCGCCTTAAATCTAATTTATGAATAAAATTACTGAACTAAATAAGAATTGTTTTTAAAGCTTATTCACTTGGCTCTGGGGGCAGGGGACAGAGTGAACGTTTCAGTAGGCCATTCCAACAACACTTCTGATACCACTTTAGAGTAGGCAAGTAGAGATCCTCAGTTTGGATTCTTAAAATGAGACGAACACATGACTAGAAAATAAAGAAACAAACAGATGACATTTTTCACTTAAAATGCCTTTTCCACTTCTAACTACTCTGATAAGGCAGAGAAATCCAGTGAGCTAGCTTGAGCTTTTCTCCATCTTCCCCACAAAATTGCAAAAAAGATGGGAGGACCCTTAGGTAATACACAAAGGCTATACTAAAAGTAGGGGAAATAGTCAAAGTAAAATAACATGAATTTTTCCTCCTGCTAGGCCATATACAATAAAATGCATTTTCACTGAATTATACATGTCTAGGGAGCCACAACAATGAGATATGCTTTTCCTAATAGTAGAACCACTTCCCCATTTTAGGTCAACATACAAGTGTTAGTATCCTCAGTTTTAAGTTTAAAAGCATGGCTAACTTTATTTTCAGGTGATGATGTCTATATGGCTAATGAAAATGAGAGACAGGAATATGTTCTGAATGAAAATGGAATCATCTTTGTGGGCAATGCAAAGTACATTGAAGCAAGAGGATGGTACTATGGACAGGTAAGCTGTAAGGAATTCATTTGGACTCATTCTGTCTCTGATTTCATCCTCTAATTATTTGTCTCTTTGATAGGTATACCTACCTATATGAAAATCAGGTAAAGCTGGCTAGCCTTGATTGTGGTTTACTAACTATGTGCCTAGTAGGACTTTGGTGAGAGATGATGTGGCACAGCACTGCAACTAGGCCTGCAACTCTTATGTGTACCATGAGCTACAAGCACAAGCATGGGCCTGTTCTGTGACCAGAGCATCCACAGTGCAAATGGAAATATATTCACTTGGCTCCGCACGCGTGTGTGTGTGTGTGTGTGTGCATGTATAACAAAAAGCAACAACAACAAAAAACACATTATTTTTGTAATTGCAGTTGCAATGGGCCAAAACTGACTCTGGTATAATTCCAGTGAAGACAATAACTGCAGTCAGAATAAACCTGGCAGTTTTAGTTCTGCTGCCGTCATCTTTCTTGATGGCCAAAGGCATCCTCTCCAGATTTCTGCTTTATTTTGTAACCCTGCCATTGGCCAATATTGCGGCAGTGTGCACTGTGCTCTCAGTGTCTTTGTGCCTCATTATTCCTATGATCTTTGGGCTGGAAATTCTTAGAAAGGAGGAACTGTAGGAGAACGTCCTCCGATTCTGTCTGGGAAATGATCTTTTATTTAAAAATTCTCTTATCTGATCACAGTTTCAAGATCCTCTTCTAAACATTTGTCTCACCATGCTTGATCTGAGCCTGTATTATCGTCAGGACCCAGCCATTGATGTATCCCGAAGAGGAGATCCTAAATATGTGGGCAGAGTAATCAGTTCTATGGTAAGAAAGGGACAATTTAATCTGAACTCCACCTGGTTAAGCAGAAAGCATTAGTCATCACTGTGAGACTCAACCATCTTTGCCTTAAGCAATAACTGAGAAACTAGATACACTGCATTATACGCCACTGATTTTGCCCATTCTGTCCAATGGCCTATTTTTAGATCAATGGAAATGATAATGATAATGGAGTTCTTCTGGGGAAGTGGCAAGGAAGTTTTCATTCTCATGAGAATCCATCCAGATGGGATGGCAGTGTGGTAATCCTTCAGAAATGGCGTCAGGACAACTACAAGCCTGTTCAATATGGTCAATGCTGGGTTTTTGCAGGTGTGATGTGCACAGGTAAGTCTTAAGAATAAAGAACTGTGGTGAAATGGAGGCATTTGTAACCTCTGTTTTTTTTTTTATCAAAAATCACAAAGCAATTAATTCTACAAGAGGAACGATTCTTCAGAGACTGTAAATACTGAAGAATCACAAAATATGTGAGGAAAATTAAATGTCTAAATATTTGTAATTGTTGAGTTAGAGGGTTTCTTTTCTTTTTTAATATATTTCAGTTCTGAGGTGTTTGGGGATTCCAACTCGTTTGATTTCAAATTTTAACTCTGCCCATGACGTGGATAGAAACCTGAGTATTGATAAATACTACGACAGCTCTGGAAAGAGTCTTAATATTGGCAAGGATTCCACATGGTAAATATATGTTTCTGCATCTCACCATCACTTGGGGAGAGGATTTATGTGATTTAAAAACATGAACATTACTAGCACAAGTGGACAGAGCTTCATGCAGCTATCTAAATTAATAGAGCAGATCAATTTGGAAGGAAACCATATCTCATGTTTTGGAGACATTACTTTAAAAAAAAAAAAACAAAACCCCAATTTTTTGCAGTCCCTAAACTCAAACTAGTTAAAAAGTAGTAAATACTTTCTTAAAAAGTATTATATTTCTACTGAAAATGTACCATTCCAAGTCTCTCGTTTACTGATCCCTAACCAGTTTGTTCCTGATAACGCAGCTATGTAACTTCTGTGCTCTTAACTAGTTTGCTGCTGCAATAGTTTCTTCTTATCACACATCCAAAGCCTCTGTTCCTCAGCTTGGCCTGCTGTCCTTCCCAGGTAGATGGGAGTCACCCAAGAAGTTTTCAAGCACTCATTTAGCTAGTCCTTCCCCTTGGGGGAACTGATTAAAAGGAGAACAGTCCCAACGCTCTCTAGACCCAATTATTGAGGCATCGTAGTCCAGTGCTGTAAAGTGCAAGTGCTCCATGATCAGGAATCAAGCTCCAAATGAGGTTAGCCAAAGAAACTTGATATTCTTTATTTACCCTCAAGTTTTAAACCTTTAAGCTGCAGCCACTTTTCAGGAAGTGAACTTACTAGGCCATATATCCAAGGGTATACGATAGAACTCAAAAGTCTTTATGTGCACCCTAGGCTTAGCCAATAGTTTTCTCTTTATTTAGTCTGCTTCCTTTCACTGAGTGTGTGTGGTTGAAGGATGCGAGAAGTCTTTCTCTGCCTAGCTTCTTTAAAAGCATTGGTCTCTGAACAAAGTTCAGTGGACGAAGCTTCTTTTCTGGGTCCTCCTTTGACCTATCTTCTACTAAGGTTTTGTACTGTCCTTTCCTTTCAGAGTTTGTGGCGCTTACTAGCACTGGATTCCGGGGGGGGAAAAAAAGTTACAAAGCCACTAAAGACATTCAGAGAGGAGATCGCTAAAGAACATTAAATATTGTGGTCTCAGTGTAATCTTTAGTTCAGGAATTCCCTAACTCTGACTGCTAGAAGGTATTAGAGCATATCAGGGGAAGGGTCATTCTACTCATGTGTTGTTCTTAGCTCTTTTTTTAAACATCTCATAGTGTACACTACTATAATAGACTATTGTGCTTTATGAACACTTTTTCTGACCTATTATAGCTTTAAGTTCTTTTTTAAAAAAAAAAAAAACTCAGCATTTCCCACTTTGGAAGGGTATTGAACCCAGTCTCTAAACGTTGCTTGTATCCAGGCCTAGATCTTTCTCTTATAGTTCTTATTTGTCCCAAAGCAATCTGCTGACATCTCTATTCCTTTTTTTTTTTTTAAGAGGTCAACACCTCAAGAGCAGGCTGTAAAGCTATCCTTTGAAAGAGGCAGAGAGTTGCTGTAACTAGACAGCTCATGTCACATCTTGGTGAATCTTTCAAAACGCAATTCCCCATGCCTTTCAAACAGGAAGTGTATATTCCTATACTTCCTAGACGTTGTTCTTTGCATCTCCAGGGATTATCACGTCTGGAATGAAAGCTGGTTTATTCGCCGAGACCTGGGAACTTTATACAACGGATGGCAGGTTTTGGATGCTACTCCACAAGAACAAAGCAAAGGTAACAGTGCAAGTTCTTATTATGACTTAATAGTCTTTCTCCAAACTAATCATTACCAATATGGTTTCTGACATTTGTTTCACGTCTCAGGATTATTTCAGTGTGGCCCTGCATCTGTCATAGCCATCAAAGAAGGTGATGTAGACTTGGATTACGACACCTTATTTGTGTATACGGAGGTGAATGCTGATTGCAACAGATGGATTGTATACAATGATGGAACTAAGAAGAGAGTTTATTGTGATACTGAAATAATTGGCAGGTTTATCAGCACCAAAGCTGTGGGCAGCAATTCCCGTGTGGATGTCACTTACAATTATAAATATCCAGAAGGTAAAGAAAGAGTCTGTTACTACAAATTACCTCCTACTGAACTTTCAGTGCTAGGCAGCTAGGATGGTTAACCTGCTTTGCTTGGGCATCTCTCTGCTTCCTTTATAAAATATTTCTGCCAGTGTTCTCAAGCTGTTTTCATAATACAATGGGTATTCCATTTATGTTTTTGTGTAATTAATTCCTTATTAATTACACATTACACATGAATTCCTTAAATAATATTCCTTATTAGTACACAATAAAAATATACTTTACTCCCTCACACAAAACTACAAAACAGTGATGAAATATTTTGTAGCCCTGTTTTGTGTATATGGTTTTTACTACCCAAAGCAAACAGATTCTCAAGCTGCTGTAGAAAGTCCTACTAAAGAGTCTTAAAACCGAGCTTCTCATGCACCATCAGCTGTACACAGGACTGTAGCATATGAAATTACAGATCAATAAATATTGGTTTTCTGTTCTTCCCCTCCCTCCACCAGATAAACTGATCAAACCTCTAATCCAAAACCTTGAACTCCTGTCCTCTAACCCCAGATACCCATCTCCCCAGTGACCTCATTCGCAGTCTTTCTCAGCAAACAAATTCCTTTCTGCCGTGTCCATTCCAACTCCTCATCCTTTCTTTTGAAGACCTCATTATACCCCACTTCCAAGAGAGGCAATTTGTTTAGTCTCCCTCTCTGATCATTTAAATTCACTGACCCATGGTCTCTTGTGCTTCTGCTTTGACATACAGCCATCCGTTCACCAGCCTTTCAACTGTTATGTGCTTGCACTCACTGTTGACCCAGTCTCCGCATTATTGGATTCTGAGAACAAAACTAGTGAGAGACAGTAAAGGAAATAAGTGTTGTCTATCTGTACACAGGAAAATAAAGCAGCCAAACATAAGAGCTGCACAGCCATATGTTTTCAGGAATACTTCCCCCGCTCCCCCCCCCCCCCCCCAAAAAAAAAAAAAAAAAATTGGTACCTCTGCCTTTTCATTTTTATTTAACTTTATGATTGCAATTTTCATATAACAGTTTTCCAAATGTTTGTGGTTCAAAGTCTCAAAAAACTATGCATCTAGCTTTTTTAAAATTGGCCATTCCGTACCAGTGGCCATATTTCAATGTTTCACTCCTCAAGGAGTAATGCAACCATATTTAACACAGAGGCTGGTTATCATCATTAGATTAGCAGAGTGACACTTATCACACTAATGCATATTCTGACCAAAATAAAAATATTGCATCCTAAACATTAACGCATATTTCATTTCAGTGACTTACTCACTTTAACACAATACATTTCTTACTTTAAAGTGAAAAACCTAAATGGAGTCCTAGCGGAGAAATACGGGGAATGTTTTGGCATTGCACGTTTCTGGGTGATGCAGAGCTGGCACCCTGTAACGTTCTGATAGCCTTGACACAGAACATTTAATGGCAATGAAGATACGCATTTTACTTGGTTCTCTCTTTCAACCAGGTTCTTCTGAGGAAAGACAAGTTTATAAAAAGGCCTGGGCTAAGATATTTGGATCAAATGTCACAGAAAGACACAGAGAATCTCCAAGTGAAAGATCTTCAGAGACAATTAGAAACCCTGGGATCTCTGGGAAATTCAAGTTGGCTGAACCTCCAGTGTTTGGCAAAGATATTACGCTAATCTTGATTCTTAATAACCTATCTTTCGATCACAAGACAGTGAAGGTGGACATAAGTGCATCAACTATCCTGTATACAAGAAGAGCAGTGGCAGAGATCCTGCAGGCAACCACCTCTGTAGATCTTGGTTCCAAACAAGGTAATTTTTAATGTGCTTAAATAGCCAATATAGCCTTCTTCTTGGTCATTAAAACCACCTGAAGGCAAGTGGAAGGAAGAAACATCAATATCGTGTCTATATCTACTTGTCCTATCTTTTAGCAAGAGTGTTTATTATTACACTTTACTAGAGTTTTTTCTTCTTCTAAAAATTTTACTAGTTCAACCAGGAATTGAGGGGCTCACGTGTTCTTACATAGAAGGCCACACCTGTATTACAGCACTAGAAGCAACATCATAGTTAGGTATGTGTCTGTGGTGATTATTACATATATAGGAACACGTCTTACTCTTTGAACCAATAAGGAAGTCCAACAGGTGCTTTCTGGCACTTTACAGGCAATACTGAAGAGTTTAATAGAAATTAACCAGGACAGAAGAAAAAGTTACAGTGAAATTCCGTATGTCTCTCTTTTAAAGAGCCATTTCAGAGATCTTTTTCATCTCCAAGGACTACAAAGATATAGAGTTCTTTTTCCATACACAGCAGAAAGGTTGTAGGACTAAGACAATAAGCAGCTGACCAGGTCACTTGTAAAGGATAGGACATATGGAAGAAATAAAAATGATTATTCATTTAATTATCTATAAAAAATACAAAGAGACAGAAATCCAATGAAATGCAGATGAATAGATGCCCTCAGTATCAGGCCAAAATCCTCCATTGAAAACTGTAAGGGTCAACTGAGTTTTTTAAAACAGAAAAGGACCACCAGCAGAGGGAAACACACAGCTGGTCTCACAAGGAAGAAATGCACACAGACCCTAGCTGTCCTATTTTATGTTCTCTTCAATAATTTCAGAGATCCTAACAGTAACTCTCTCACCTTTAGCACTCTTTATTGGAATCTAATGGTTTCTAAATATATGTCTGAATTCCAGGGAAACATATACAGTTAAAGATCCCTTATTCTTATTATGGAAAATATCTGACTACTGACAAAAGGATCCAAGTTACTGCTTTGTGTGAAGTCATGCACATGCATGGGGTAAAGCTGCTGGTAGAGAAGACAATCATTTTAGAGGACACAAACATTATCATCAAGGTAAATAGTTCTCCCACTGCTGTTCTGAACAGATAGTAACGAACTAAAGAGATTTCCCAGAGCTCAGAACAGAAGATGAGAATTTGGGGATAAAATGCATGAACGTAGGCTGCAGTTTTTCAGATGTGGCTCTAAAATTCTGCCTGTTTAATTTAAGAAAGTAAGTTTCCTCAAAATAGGAATGCAAATGGGAGACCATTTTTGAATCTTTGCCTGAATCTGCCCACTGCTGGTCATGTGCCATTGCTTTGTGTTTACAGAAACGCCTGTATTTTCATTCCATTTTTATTCTAGCTACTGGCAAGCATTTGAGTTACCTTTGAATGACTTTGCCTTTTCCCAAAATACAGACTTAAACCTTTAATTCCAATTTATATTAGGGTCAGTTTTTGTTCTTTGAACACTTTAATCCTAATCCATAGTGTGTGTCCAGGACTCTCCATATCACAGAAAACAAGCAAGCAAGCAAACAAAAATCCCCCACACATGGCAAGCCAAAGATCAGACAGATTTAATAAAATATGCCTATACAATCAGAGCTCTATGTCACTGGAATTATATATAAATGATTGTATATATCTCACCAGCACCTAAATCCAGCTTCAAGCACTAGGAAAGGCATACCAACTGCGATTAGATTCCAGTCCCTACCAATAATCTCATTAACTCTCAAATATGAGTGATGATCTGCTTACAGTACCACTGAAATCTGACTCCAGAAAAGTCTAAAACAGTGAATGTAACGTGTCTTTGTCATGTAGGTTCCTCGGCGAGTTGTAGTGAACAAAGCAGTTACTCTAGAGATCTCATATGCCAATCCCCTCCCTGAACCTGTGAACAGCTGTGTACTGCTAGTGACTTTGATGAATCAACAGGTCAAGATACAGTAAGTGAAAGCTGTAGCATTTACTTAGTGCTTCTAACATGACCAATATCATGGTTAGTTTCTCAGTAAGAAAAAAATCATGGTTAAATCAACTTTATCACGGAATATACATGTTCTATTTACGAAAATAAAAGTGCCACCAAATACATTTTGGGAACCAATGATTTCTCAGTCACGTACTACTTTTTTCCACTTAGGAATTTCTCTAAGAACTAAAAACTGCTAATGTTATTCCTTTCTGGAAAAGGATATGGGCAAGTCAAATTCCTTTACGTCTTTGACATTTCTTCTACAGCTTGGATTCATATTTTTAAATATGATACCCTGATACTATAGAAATGAGTCTGAGCTACAGTACACAAACAAGACACTGCCATAGCTTCCCTCCTTCCAGCCCAAACAAGAAGTTGCTCTGCTCTCCTTTAAAGTAGGAAAAAAGCTGCCTTTTTAGAACATAAGAGCGAAACATTCTACATTTTTCCTGGATTCTGCTTCTTTATGGATTAACTCGGTGTTGAATGTGTCTTAAAGTTTGCTTCATTATGAAACACCCTGACTTGCTGCAGCTCTGGAGAGTATGGAAATGTTTGGACATGGTAATTCATAAAATATGAAAAACACTATTCTGGTGAGGTACCTTATAAATCACTTTCTCTGAATTACCAAGTCATGCCAAAGGAGAAACGAAACAAAGCACTTTGGTCATTAGAAAAATCATGTTATTGCCAAAATGGATATAAGCCAAGAAGGCACTGGGCAAATAACTGACCTTTAACTTCAGAGTTTTCCTATTCTGAGTTTCTATGTTGACTGTTTAACCTTGCACCCAACCCTAACATGGATACACCATGTAATACTTCTACCTTTCATCATTCGATTGAAGAATAAATGGATATTGTACCGTCTTTTCCTGTGTCTTAGTCTGCACGAAACCCCAAACCTAAGTGATTCTCAGAAAACAAGGCTGGATATCAAGTAATCGTTTGGTGCCACAGCTGTTAGGTTTCTTGAGAGTTTCAAGGAAAGACAATGCAAGCCTGAACTAATTGATTTTTGTTTTCAGTCTGGCAGGACTGGCACCAAGGGAGAGATCAAGAATTTATTTTGAATTCACACCTCGCAGGACTGGACCCTTACAGCTGCAAGTAGACTTCTCTTGTGACAAGTTTTCGCATGTTAAAGGATTCGTAACTATTGCAGTAGCACCTGCATAACGTGATGGAGTCAGTTTCCTCTTTATGCATTAACATGACAAGACAAACTTTCCATAAAAATAGGTGACCTTTTGCATTGCAATAGAATGAAGTCTCCTGCTTTCACAGGGCTTAATTATTTAGTTTCTAATTGTATCTCTTTTTTGTCCTCTTGTCTAGAGAAATGAAGCCTCTTCTTCACAGAAATACTGATTCCCTATTTTAATCAAATCTACTCATTGTATTAAGCTCTAGGTTTTGATTTCTTCATCAGATAATTGATAGAGTCTCTTTGTGATCTCATTCTAATTTGCCAGCAATAAATACAAACATTCAAATAATTGTCGTATTTGTGGTATGAATTGTATATGCCATGGAAATATAATTATGAGAAACCAGAAGACTGAGGAAATGCTTCCTGAATTTCACACTTAGAAGAAAAAGAGAACATTTTCTCCATTGTTCATTTTCTTTCTGTATTTCGTGACACCTATAGCTCTATGAATAGAAATAATCATAACAAGGCTAGACAAAAGTAATATTTCTTGCCTACAAAACTGATACATACGCAACCACTGGGCACAGGCCTGTCACAGAGGGGATGACACAGGTACATATGCAATCAGTAACTTAATTCCCATGTAATGTGAAAGAGTCCCAAACAACATGCAGCACAGAAATCAGAGCCTTGCATTAATATTGAAGTCCAGCAATACAAGGTAACTTTTTTTTTTTTTTGCACATTTTTTGTCCCGGTGACAAGGAGTACATTTAACTTCAAACCTTCTAAACCTAACCCTTTCATAGGCAACCCATACTCCACACATCCGCCGCGGTGTTTGCACACAGATGCCTCTTTTGTGGTTTCCTGATCCATTGCCAGATAACAGGTCACATCTGAAGTACATGCGTAGCCATGCGTAGCCTCAAGGCTTTTCTATTACTCCAGGCAATTAAGCCTCTCCAGGGACAATAATGAAAACTAATGAATGACTGGGCATTGTAACTACCTGACCACACTTCAGAATTAGGGTGTGAAGTAACAATGGTGTAGGAATGCCTTTGCCAAGCATGAAGAATTAAGTTTCCTGTCCTACTTGAACAAGGTTTAAAGCAGAATTAATAAAGCCAAAGCTTTGAACCCCAAAGCTGTCAAGAGTTAGATATGAACATCTGCTGTCTGACAGATCATAATCCTGTAATTTCAGGGAGTCCGAGGCATCCAGACATGACTGCCCCCCTCTCCTGCCTCTTATTCCTCAGTCACATTCTATCGAAAGTTCGGAACAGTCTGCCATCTCTTCTCAGGACAATTTGGCAGAGTGTGTTTCTAGATAAGTCCAGACAAGATTAGGGAGAAGAGAGCAACTGTAATTAGAGCGGGCAGGACTCTCGCCAGAAGAATAGTTCTATAGCTTCCACCAGGGCCAAACTCAAGAAGCCATGCCAAACAGCTACGGACAAATTACACCCATGTATTACGATTTCCAAATTACAAACAAAAATGATTAGTCAGAACCTAAACACTCCTCTTTACTTGATAGAAATCCCTGATGCACTGGTGGGTGCATAACCATGCCCACTCAGTAATTGCATTGCTTCTAATATACAAAACACATATTGCAAGTAATTGTGTCAGAAACACATAATCAGAATGCCACAATTCAGTGTGCTTCCAAGGAAGAACAAATTATGCAGTTACTTGAAAGATTTTCAGGCAGGCCTGTCTTTATTTGTATGGACTAGGCCATACAAAGTCACTATGCTACTGAGTGACAGTAACACTAATATATCACAAGATTACTTAGATTACTCCACTTCCCATACACCCAAGTCATAGAATACACGTAGGATATTTGCCTATACCTGCCCTGTCCTCTGTACATGCAGTCTTCAAAAATCCAAGCTGAAAACAAACTATATTATCCAAAATGAAGTTTCTTCTGTCTACTTAAGTTTCTTCTTCTACTTAAAGATCGTATTTCCTTCATTAGACCTAATCATCTGAGACGTTTTCCTCTCTTCATACTCGAGATACCAGGATAATATTTATCACCCTTTCTCAGCCATTTACCAGTTTTCAACTGCACAATCTTGAATGTAATTATGCTTGTTTAAGTAGTTTTTTAAGTAGGATGATTTAGTAGGACATTACTACAACAGTATCTAGGAACCACAGGTCACGCCTAGCTTGTATAAACTCTAGCTTATTTAGTGGAGTCAGAGAGTCTTAAGCCTGTCATTATTAATGTTGGTGGAAGAGGATTCAGTGTTCTTGAGCAGTTTTGTATCCATAGCCTGAACTACTCACAAGTGTGGAAAAGAAGAAAGAAACCTTATGGCTGGTAAGTTAAAAACATAGCTTGTTTGCTCCAGACAGCGCTCTTCCAATAACGGTAGCTGATATTTGCTGAGGAAACAGAATAAATTACATCAAATTGTTCTTTTGGAAAACTAGCTCTTTTTTAATTAAATTATGGGTTATTGTAGTAGAATTGATCTTCTTTTCTTGATCTCATGGATCTTGAAATTCTATTTTTCTATTACTGAGAAATAGTGAAAAAAAGATTCTCTATCATACCCGTTATCTACCTATTCTATACAGCGCTTTTGCAGCCACCAAAGCAACACTGTGGGTAGTGATGTGAGCATCCAGCTGGCACATAGAAGGCCCAGACTCTAGTCCCTCTCTGATACTGAAATGATGAATGGCCTTGGACAGGTCACCTGGTGGCCTAGTGAGCCTGACTGCATGAACTTCACGATATCCAGCCCAGCAAATGTTATCATTGGATGATACAAACTCAAACTCCACATTGTTTCTGGGAACAAGGTCTCTTCTACGTTCTTGGGCCAGTTTGTGCTTCTCTTCAATCCCTGGTGTCCAAGTATGTTTTAACGTATCGTGTGTCCTTCAGATATCTCATTGTCTCAGTCGGGAAATCTGGGTGCCGCAGTAGAGCACACACTTGTCAGTGTGTCAGTGACAACTACAGTATGATTTTTCTGCTCAGCATCAAGGACCTTGTTTTCATTCCTTTTTCAGTGTTGCACTACATGGACGATCCAGCCTCTTGCTAGGACAGTAAGAAATCAGAGGCGGGAAATATTTCAAATATTTATTCTCTAATTTTTTTCCTCTGATATTGTGCTCTGCTGTAAACCAGCCAGTATCTACCAGTGAGATACATACTGAAAACAGTGAGGAGATAGGACCATTTGCAGTTCCCATCAAAGGAACTTCACACTTATGTCATTCATTCCATAAATGACCATGGAGGTATAGCAGGGAGTCCTAAGCCTGAATGCATAGGCTGTTCCTTAGAACTCCCTGTGAGAGGAGATTTCCCGTTACAGTAAGACAACCGTCCTTTAAGCTAGCTTGTCTCATTCTGTTTCTAGATGATGATGTCTATATGGCTAATGAAAAGGAGCGACAGGAGTACGTCCTGAATGACAGTGGAATCATGTTTCAGGGACTGGAAAAGTATATCCAGCAAGAGGCATGGAATAACGGACAGGTAAACGCATCACCTATTCCAGAGCTTTGAAAAAGAAGAATAGTGGAAGGATGAGGGTCTTGAAGAGACAGAATCATTATCTCATAAGAGTTCATCATTCCTCTTTCACTTTTGATTTCCTGCAACTATATATATATTTTAGATAGTCCAAATACTGAAGGAAAAAAATCTATCATTAAAAAAGAACTTAACTGCTTTCTGCGCAATTACACACAACATTTAAATGGGTCTCTAAGATGGATATGCACAAATACATGCAACCACATTTAACACACTTGAACAAACTATATATATTATATTCAGAGTTGCAACATATGCACGTTCAAGTCAGGCACAGATTGGCAGGACTAGTTTGTTTAAGAAGAGAAGAAGAAATAGGTACTTCTAGCTTACATGTACATTACTTGAGAATATGAACTGACACCGAATACACAATGTAACAGAATAATGATACACAAGGAGGTAAAGCAAATCAACAAAATACAGAAAATTTAAAGGGGCTGGCAGTCATCACATTTGGGAACACTTGTACTGAAAAGCAAGGTGATTTTGAATCATCAGACCAGATCAGCCTGATCTGAATTTGATCCAATTGCTGCACTTGAGTAAGCAGACAAAATTCTACCTAAGATTCAAGCGTTGTGTTTCATCACTCGACCAATCAGACCCATGGTATAAAGAGGGTCATTTTCTATCTATTTCCTTCTCTCCTCTTTTCTATAAATATTGTAATTCACTCATGAGAAGGATTCTTTCAGGTTAACAGTAATGATGAAAAAGGAGTGGTGCAAGGGAAGTGGAACGGAAAGTACTGCTCAGGAACCAATCCCTTGCACTGGAGTGGAAGCGTGACCGTCCTTCGAAAGTGGTACCGAGGGAGATACAAACCTGTATGATATGGCCAATGCTGGGTCTTTGCAGGAGTGATGTGCACAGGTATGCCGGAACGGAAGAAGAATACTATCAAAAAGGAAGCTTATTAGCATTCCTATAGTTTTACCTTGGGCTGTTATTGTTGAAGCTGCTGCAGTTTTGACAGAGAAAGTAAAGAACCTATGCTCTTCATGTATGAAGGGTTATTTTCTATTTTAAACAGCCACAGGTTGTGATACTGCAGCCCGCTACTGCAAGTCATCAAACAAGGCACAAAGCTGTTTACCAAGCTGGGTTGGCAGAAAGAGCTAGGTTTGCTCCTTCCAAGCTAGGATTCAGAGAAAATCAGTGCTCTTGTAAGCCTGGCTCCTTAGGATGTAAGTTTTCTACTGTTGCGTCTAGCCTTTTTGTGACACAAAATCAAATCACAATTCTGAGGGCCTTTAAAGGGAGCTGTAAGCAAGGAGAAACATTTCATCCTAGCTGTTTCCACTTAGAGCTGCTCTGAGAGACAAGAGTCACTTCAGGGAAAACAGAAAGGGAGAATAATGCAATCAAGAGGTATATCCTAGAGACCAAGAGGAAAAAGAAGCAGGTAATAGAAGCAAACACAGGGAGAGAGAATAAGATGAAGGCTGAAAGATTAAACAAGTATGTGAATCTAACTCTTCTTAAAAAGAAAAGAACACGGCAGCTAAGAGCACCATGTGAACGGAAGTGTCATATAAGCAATTGTGTACAATGATTACATTACATCCCTGCAGCATATCTGAGGGGGAAGTTTCTCAGGGTTTCTTTTACCTCGAAAAGCATATATAATACACTGTTTTGACAAGAAAAAGATATGAGTACTTTCTAAATGTCTGCAAAATAGGTTTATAGCACTTTTACAGTATTATATATTGCAGTTCTGAGATCCTTGGGAATACCTACCCGTGTCATGACAAATTTTAACTCTGCCCATGATACGAATATAAATCTGAGTATCGATAAATACATTGACATTTCTGGAAAGACCCTATACTTGAATGAAGACAGTGTTTGGTACATATCAACATTTTCTTAATATTTTTTCCATTACATTCTCATCTGATCACAAGACTTGGATCCCAAACTCCCTCCCAATGACATGAAACGCTGTAGCAAAGAATGAAGAGAAGAGCATGTTCAGGAACACAAGATGTAGTCAGTTGCATTATTCCGAAGACTTAACAGTGGAGACACTTGGCACCACTGCTATTTAACATATAATCTTTTTTAATATGGCTTCTCATTCTGTTCTTACAATATGATAGTTTTAATGTTTCCAAAAATAATTAAGAAAAAAGAGTGACTATACTCTTACCCCCAAATCAGATCAACTTGTCCTGTGAATCCTAGCACAGAGCATTCTCAGAAGTCCATAAGCTTTAGACTCGGCTCCTCTGCTAAACACTTCTAGTTGTCTCAGTCTTTCACGACTGCTATCATTACACATCCCTTACACAATAGAGAGATGTTACTAAAGTAAAGGTAATGCATTGACTACAGCAGAGAAAAATCCTATCCCACCCCTCATCTCATTAGGAAGAACTTGCTATTTCTTTCATCTCAGCGAGGCTTTCTGTCAAAAATTATGCTTTTGACAAACAAGTGGACAGAAACTACTACACTGCACATATGCATTCTACTGTATGTACAGTGATTCATTCACTGAGCACCCTAGACCTGTGGACTGAATGGGACAAGGGTCACATGAAGTATAAAGCAATTGTGAATTGATACCTCAAGATAGTAATGTACACATGAGACCTTCAACTATACAACATATAGTTCTGGAATGTCTAGATTGAGTACTTGACTCTGCAATGTAATAATTTTTTTTAAATATTATTTTGTACATAACACTCCACCATTTCTCAGAGAACAAAACACAAAAAGCTGGTAAAGGTAGTGGTGGAAAGAGGTACTCAAGAAAGGAGAAGAGATTTGGCTTCGCCACAGAGGAATTATCATTCACTTGACTAGGATAATTTCTTGCCTTGCACCAGAAACACATCAAATGAATGAACTGCATTAGTCAGAAATTCTCTATTTTCCTTCCCTTATAGGATTTTCCATGTCTGGAATGAAAGCTGGTTCATTAGAAGAGAACTTGGCTCTTTTTATGATGGGTGGCAGGTTCTGGATGCAGCTCCCCAGGAAAGAAGCAAAGGTAAAACTGTTGTAAATACACAAAGCTGTAAGTATTCTTACTCATAAATATTCTTACTGTAACTGAGGGATAACTCTCTTCTGTCTACTCCTTGTAGCCAACTCCTTTGGCTTTGTAATCTCATCCCGTTAGTCTGAATCTATTCTAGGGCTAACAGACCGTAGTAGCGATCAGAAGCCATAACCAACACAAGTAATCAGTTAATGCCTTGGTCCTAATTATTTTGGACTACTGCACTTTGATAAAATTTGGAAGGATGGGGTTTGGTGTTTTTACTTGGCTCCAAGTCAGAAAGTTCTTGCAATAAAATGTGGAGAATTGGCCAAATTTGCCTAAGAGACTACTTGAAAAAAGCAGCCTATGACATGTATTTTTCTACTGTACACGCACTACCTTCAAGGTTTTTACCTGACCATACCTGCTGCCAAACACTTCTTCCAGCCCTTTATCTGTATCTTACAAAACCATTGTATCCACCCTCCCAACTTAGGTCAGAGGAAGGTCCACCTCTGTTTCCTTGCATGCGTATATCACCAATCAGACAGAAAAATAAGACTGATTTTTCAGTCTAAAAGTCAGACACTTTGTAATACTTCCAGAAATGCTCAGAAAGCAGAAGATCAGAAGAGTAGGCTCAGGACATAACATATGACCAGAAGGATGTATGAAAATTCACAATTAACAGTCATACATCCTCATTCCACATAGCTGCTTAAAGTAGGTCATCATCCTCTCCTGTGAGAAAGACGTTATGGCACAGTATCTAAACGCCAGCAACGTGCCCATGCCTTGGAGAGTTTAACAAACCAAAACAGCAGCGACTTGAATGTTTCTAAGAGATAATTTGCCTCTTTCCTCCTGGCAACATCTAGCACTGCAACGGAACGCAGTCTCAATTGCCCCCAGAAATAATGTGTCAGACTGACTCCGGGATAAATTTAAATTTCTTTGATTTAAAGCCAGCAAAATTTCCAAAACACGTGAACTCCAGTTTTATGACATCATTTACGATGTTTTGCCACCCACATATATCCTTACAAGGGATTCCGAAGCTTGGCAGAACTAGTCAGCCCAGAGAGAGTGGAATGAAGATTGCAAAGAGCAAACACACATACGCACACGCACAAAAGGAAATGCAGATTTCTCCAGGCAAAGGAGGGGGGAGTATGTAACTTTGTGCCCACTAATTAAGTCTTGCAGGGGCTTGGTAAAGCCAGAGCATCCCACTCTTTTCTAAAGCCTCAGAAAAGGCCTTGACGTAGTGATTGTATTCACAAAATCTCATTCAGTCTTGCAAGAACGCAGACTATCATTACATTTAACGCACAGTATAGCCAAACCATTCAAATTCCTTAGGTATTTCTTTTAAAATACAATCCAGGAAATGAGTTGAGACACACTGTTTGTCACAAGAGCTAGACACGGTCTCATCCGAATTAACTGTTTTTAAAGGAAGCCACCTGTTCAAAGAAAAATCAGCTCTAAAGGTTGTGCAAAGGTCCAAGCTTTGCAACACTTGGGGGGGAGGGTGTTGTCAGGGTGTCAGTGCTCAGCAACCACACCCAGTTCAGTCTCAGTATTAAAATGAAGACCTATCTGTCTGGTGTCACATACAATAAATGCACATTCTTCCTGTGTGCCAGACGTGAGACAAGTGTTCAATTAAAATAATGATTGTTGCAGAGAAAAATGTTTAACTGCCCAAGGAAAGATTTAAATACCTTTTGCCAAACCTACAATCTTCACACAGCCCTTACTCAGAAGTCAATAGCAGTTGGTGAAGTAAAATCTGGCTAAATATCAGCATTTTCTTTACAAATATGTAGTTTAAAACTGAGAGCACACAAGAGGCTGACCCAGCCCTCGTTCCATTCTGATCACTCAAAAAAATCAAGCAAGTGCTAGCTGAAGTGACCCAGTCATATTTTCAAGACTTATCCTATAAAGTCTTGAAAGACATTAGCATCAAGGTCACTGGAATGGTGAATGTTTCTCCCCACCACACTGTTCTCTTGATCTAAGCTTCTAGGACCTTGATTCAGACAATCAATTAAATCTCTACCCTTTTACACTTTTTTAAAAAAAAAAAGAAAAATCAGAAATAGCCATAGTTCGTAGTTCCAAAGCACGTGGATGTTGTGGCTGTTACCAAATTTGCATTTCTTTAGCAGTTGGTAGCTATCACACTCACGTACCAAATGTGGGGGATGCTGCTCACTATAAAATACAAAACAAAAGGCACAGTTTAAGCATTTCTTGTTGCTCAAAAGAGGCAAAGAAATTCCACCAAAGAGTAAAATTCATATCTACTTCATGGATGTGCCATGTCAGAGCTGGAAATGCTGACATCCAAATAGGGACACTTAGCTGTCCATATTTTTGATCACCGCACTCAGTAAGAGACCTAATTATTAATGATTCTACTGTAACATTTGAAGCTTCTACTTTTAAAGATAATAAGGAAAATGCAGAATTTTACAGATATATGTTTGGGCCTGTAAAGCAAGAATCCCAAAAAGCTATCAAGATAACAGTAAGATGGATACTTCAAAGGATCCTATGGATCACTTTTCCTTTAGACTTCTGTGAGCATGTCAGGGACACAGTGGATACAGAAAAGTGACAACACTTATCTAGACTCTCAAAGGACTTGGATAAGGGCATTCAGAAGAAGCAATGCAAGAACTGAGTACAAAAAGGGTACAAAATCCACTCGTGACATAAAGCCATTTAAATTACTCAGGGCCAAAAAAACTATGAGGAACTTCAAGTAGGCCCAACACAGCAAAACAGATGACAGTACAACAACCAGTGAAATTCAGCTTGGTAAATGCAGAGTGGAAATGCAATTATTGCTTACACACCATGCAGAGTTTTACATCAACTGCATCAAGTGAAGACAGAGAGCTCAGCATAAAGAGACAGCTCAGCTGCGATTACAGCACCATGTGTGTTGCAATGATTCCCACTTAATGAGATGGTAGACTGGAAACACAGGAGGGGATTACTACAAAGAACATTTATAATTAACAAGTACTCTCATAGTGAAATTAAATCCTGTACAGCATGACATACTCAATCTTGAAAATCATCTAATATGAGATAATGCCTTATTTGCTAGGGTAAGGCTCAGGCACACTCTTCTGAGTCATCTTCTGTTGTGTACTGTCAGAAACAAGATATTAGACTGGATGAACCTTTGTTCTGATCCAGTCTGGCAAGCTGTACATACTTATGGTTTTGCTGAAGTTTACGGACAAGTATAGGTTTAGGCTTGGTTAATTTTGGCTGAGTGAATGTTAACTATTATTGAATCATTACAATGAAGAAGGGATTTCATGCAGATGGTCTCATGGATCTTGTGCACATGAGGTTAAACATGCAAATGCTGGTGTTAATGATACCGCAGTTTTGAATTCAGAGGTTGACATTAGCACAAGCAGAGTGCTGGTGTGGCTAAAATTATAGTTTTTCAAATGATACATATCAGAAGCATTATTTATGTGTTTTAAAAGCATGAGCAAATTATGTTGATAAGTGTACTTACAACTGTACTGTACAATGGAGTGGAATACATATTGTAATAAAGGAGAGCTTGAGCTCTCAATGTAAGTGGTAGGCTACTTGCTTAGACTGCTTGAATAAAAGGAAGCCTGAATAATAAACCTGGTACTAATCTGAGCTGGAAAGAAGAATATGAAAGAATATGAAGCATATGAAAGAAGAACCATCCTTAAAACAAGTATGTAAGACAAAATAGGTTAAAAGATTTACAAATTTGCACTTTACAGTTCAGACTAAATATATTATTCTTCTGAAGGGTCTGAACTTTGCTAGAGGATCTGAGGGCAAAACCATTGTATCTGAAGGACTGTTCACCTCCCCACCTCCTGACACAGAACATATCACTGTCAGCAGAAAGCCTTGTATTGAAGCTAGGCAACGAGTAACGGAGGAGGGGAACTTGCATATACAACTGTGGCTGTGTATGTGTATGTACAGTTACACCAGATGTACAGAAGAAATGTTACTCCAAAGTGTTGGCGTAATCACCTTTTTACCACCAAAATATAAGGAACAAAAATACTTTTATGTACGCTTTGGAAATATCTACCAGCATGTTTAAAAGTTCAGAGAGCCTATATAGAGAGATGCAAATTGTTGGTTGCCTATAGCAAAATAGCTGAACCAGTTCAAACCCAACTTTTTGACAGTGCAGTTACATTTGCAAGATAAAGAAGTGGCTACAGCATTTTAGTACCATCAGTTATACAGAGAGTTTTATGGACTTGCCTTTACGGAACATGTCTTGAATCAGACATGAATGGCTTTTGAACTCACAGATGAATGAACTGACAAAAATTAAAGAAACCTAAATATGAGAACCCCATATTCCAGAGAGAAAGAGAGGCAACTCATAAGTAGATAATCTCAGCACTTCCTCCTGCTGAGCATTTTGACCTCTGTAACGCACAATTCCTGTTTCTTTCTCTGAAATTTCAGATAGGAAATCTCAAATATCTAAGTTAGAACCGAAAATCGTCACTAGATGGAAAGGCACTAAAAGCACTTTGAGCACGGCATATAGAAGTTTCTTTTGTGTGTTAAAGACTTTCAACAAATTTATTTCTTAGCCCCTTTTTGGCGTCGTGAAAGATACAAAGGGATAATAATCAATAGTTCTCTGTTCACAGCTAACAAAATATTCACCAGTGCACCCCACTTAGCAATCACTACTTGCAGTGGCCAATTTAACCAGGAGATGGTACTATCATATACACAGCCATTACAAAGGAATGGTGATGATTATGCAAGAAAATCAGAATTTTGAAAATGATCAATTGGCTTATGTTTAGACAATTTAATACACTGAAAGAGCATGAATCAGTGATTATATACTGTTTATTTCTTTTAATAAAAATCAAGTCCAAAATGCATATTAAAATCATATATAATTGATATATAAGAATTTGTTGACAAAAATCTCACAGAATTTTTTTGGCCCATCTCCCCATTCTGCTTATATTGTTTCTTGATTTTTGCAAATCTGGTGACCTCCATGCTTACTCATAAAAATCAAAGCAATCAAAGCAAATTTATACAATTAAGGCTATGCTGTGAATTACTAAAACTAAGAGAGTCTGCATTTAGTTTAACTGACACACAGAAGCAAACAACTGTAAAATCTAATATGCAAACAATAAGAAAAATGCCAAGCTCAGTGGACCAGATTTTGCAATGGCTATCTAGTATAAGTCCAAAATCTCGTCCTGGCATGGCTACATTTACCACTGAATGCATCACTGTTTATATTAGATTACGTCCCTTTTTCCTATTTTACATGTATCTACACTGATCTCTACTTGCTGTTTTATGGCCTAGACATTCAAAATCAAAGATTCCTCTACAACTTCTTCAAAGCTGCCTCCCTCATCTTTACTACTCAGAATGATTGAGCAAGCTTTGCCACCTGATTTTTTTTAATGGGTTTCTTGAACTATTTATGAATTGTGAAAGATCATAGATTTCTGCAAAACTGCTGGTGACTCTCTCCACAGTGAAAACTGTTTATTTCTGCTGCCTCGTTTCCTATCTTTTGACCAATTATCTCTCCATGCAATGACCTTCCTTTTATTTTATGGCAACTTTAAGAGTCGCAGTGTATTTAGTCCAAGTCTCCAGTGTGATGTTTTAAAATAGTCTGCATTATGCTACAGACATTTCATCTTTTTTAGTTGTTGCTTTTAACACATTTCCTCATTTTGAGGTGGTTCCACCCAAGCTCACTCTATCTCTTGTCATGCTACAGGTCTGAGCACAAAAAAGTGTGATTTCAAGATCACAGTGAACAATAATCACCACCACACAGAAGAAATCAGCACTGAAAGGCTTGCGGTGAGGCGGGGGCAGCCATTCACCATCACTGTGAGCTTCACAGCTCCTATACACAACTACCTGCAGCAGCTGAAGAGAACCTTCCTGATAGTACAGACAGGAAACACCATTACTGTGCCTATCGCAGCTCTGGTGCTCCACCCACCTGAAGAACAGAGCTGGTGGCAAAAGCCACCTCTAGAGCCAGACAGATGTGTCCACATTCAGAAGCGAGGCAAGTGAACTTTATCTAAGCCAGCGTAGAGTCTACTGCTACTGCGACTGGCAGGCAGGGTCAAGACTAGTTATCTTTCTGGAAAAGACATTCCAGCACAGTAGCCAATGCAGGTTCACAACTCAATGATGTGAAAGGACTCACAGGGACTGTCCTCACTCCTGGCTTTTGGTTTAGGAAAGTTCTAACTTGGTTAGCCTGTTAGAAATGTTTTCTGTTACAGAGTGTTTTCTACTGAGACCCCTCAGGAGGGGAGCACCATGTGCCCCCAGCTTGTTCTACTGCAATCTGAGCATTTGGCTGTGGCTTTTGTCACAGGACACTGAATCTCAGGAGCAGCAGGTCTGCACCAGTGTGGCTCTTCCTGGTTTCTACAAAGCAATGAAGTACATGTTCCACTTTCAAACAAGGAGCGCTTGACTTGTGCTTGACTCCAGCACAAGCCTCAGGAAGATTCACTAAAGGCTAAGACAGCAGCATTAAGCTGCTAAAGAGTTAAGAGTCTCCCACATAAAAGGAGAGCTATGGCTCCAGATCTAGATATGGTCCCTGCAACCTGCAGGGGGTGGGGATGCATGTCTGGAGTAGACATAACCAGATGCCTTTGGCTGCAGGATCCCATCCATCCAAAGCAGATGGAACCCAGATTGAATTTCCCATCTCCATCCTGGGAGACCAGAAGAAGTGGAGCGCAGCGCTAGAGGAGCAGGACTCGCACTCCTGGACCATCTCTGTGAACACGCCTGCCAATGCTGCCATCGGCCAGTAGGCTCTGCTCTTACATGCCTCCAAGTCTTACTGTCTACTGGGCAACTTCACCCTTCCCTTTAATCCCTGGTGCCAAGGTATGTGATCAGCAATGAAAAGGTAGGCTGGGCTCAGTCACTTCAAATAAACAGCTTTAAGCTCCAGCACACTCCTGGGAGATGTTGAGGCTGGTTCACTTAGTGTTCCCCCCTACTCCTGCCCCGCTTCTCACAGCACCTCAGGAAAGAGGCCTAGCACAGCTCAAAGCTGCCTGCCTCAGTACTCCTGCCATACTCTTGTCAGTGCCCTGTTCTCCTGCTAAGGTAAAAACGTTTGATAACCTCAAAGCATTTCCTATAATAAAGATTTAAAGATGAGTCAAAATTATAATTGGCCTGATCAAGGCCACTGTACTCTTCTTAGGCACAGAGAAGCCAAAAGCCAAGACAGCAAAAGAGCGGGCTAGCACAACAGCCTAGGGCTGGAGGAACATTTTAGACTGGACAGACAGAGACTGCAATGAAATAGTTCTTTCCTGCCTGATTCAGAATCAGTGGCATTTTCCCTCAGATAGGGACTGCCTAAGCACAGTGAAATCTTCTGATGAACAGAGATGCAATTGCATCTGAGACCAGGAATGCTTTCTTCCTTTTTCCTCCCCTCTCCTCCATCTAGATGATGAAGGGTTCTTGGCTAATGAGGCACAGCGGCAGGAGTACATCCTAAACCAAGATGGTATCATCTATGGAGGGACTGAAAATGCAGTCTTGACACAGCCCTGGGACTTTAGTCAGGTAAGAGGTTTGATATGCCTGTGCTCTCTTACAGCCACAAGCAGAGGAAGGGGGCAGATCTCCTGAGCGTATAGAATGCTACTCATTTCCATACAGTGGTGTTGATGAAAGAACTTGCCCTCTGCACTCATCATGTTTGTCTGAGACTTTGTGCAAGAACTGTGTATGAAGCCCCAGAACCAAGTATATGTAATTTTAGCTACCTTCTCAGACTGTCCTCTATGAAGAAAGGCATTGATCTGTATCTGGGCTTTATGTGCTTTGCCCTCAACAACAGATATAAAAGCACTTTACAGTGCTCAGTAATACTGTCTCCATTTTACAGGTAAAGTGAGGACAAGGGGATTTTCCAACTTGCCCAAGGTTATCTGGCCCAGCCAGTGATGAGGCCTGCATTCCATTCCACTTCAGCGTCAGCAGATCACAGCTTACCTCTGTGCCAACCTGGAGAATGTTTGAGAAAAGCCTGAATTCCCCTCAGTCAGGGGAGGCAGCGTCATACTAAGGCATTTCCCACCTTTCTTCAATAAAGCTATAGGTCTGCACTTAGTATGCTGTGTTCCTCCTTCAGATCTTTGCCTGGAGCTCTCCTCCACAGCCCACTTATCAGTAGAAAGGGAGAAATTATCTGCAGAGACTCCAGAGAAGAAACAGTCAGGCCAGATTTCCTGAGACGATGTGTTCTTGTTTCAGTTTGAGGAGGATATTATAGACATCTGCTTCACACTGCTGGACGTAGGTGAACGCCACCAACAAGACAAGAATCACACCCACCGCAAGAACCCTATCTATATCTGCTGCACAGTTGCTGCCATGGTAAGGACAGCAGACAGCAGCCCTGACCCTAGCAGAGAAGATCCAAATGCAGAGCAAAGGCTAGAATCTTCTCAATCCCAATTTATGGCAACCTCCTGACCAAAGAACTAAGCCTGCCCAGCACTGTTCCAAACAACACCTCCCTGCCATCTCCAGCCCCTCCTGACACTCATACAGCAAACACATAGTGCTGCTGGAGTTTCTTAGCAGTGACAGCACACTTACTAGATGAATCTCACAGGAGACTTGAACCTGTTATGCCTAGCCATGATTTTCATGCTTTGCACTAAAAAATCCTTTTAGTTTCAGCTGCCTTGGGAGTAGCTTCATCAAACAGGGTGGGGTTTACCTACTAAAAAGAGGCAGTTCCTTAATCCATCTTTCTCTCCTTCTTCCCTGAAGCTGAACTGCGATGAACTTAGAGGGATCCTGACAGAATGCAAGACAGAGGAATACTATGATGGGACACCCCCTTGCAAATGGCTGGGCAGCAGCTCCATCCTCTGGCAGTGGGTCGCATCGCAGTGCAAGCCTGTCTGTTACAGGCAGTGCTGGGTGTTTGCTGCAGTCATGTGCTCAGGTGCAGTGGTGGTTCAGAGACTTAAGCGTGTTGAGAAGAGTCTTATTTGGTCCACAGAACCTCTAGCATACACCTAAATTCCTGGATTAACAAGGATCCCACTGACACAATTTTTAATCTTTAGGTGAAAGACAGATCCTCAGTGTTTCCTCCATAATCTCCTTACTCATCAACACTCAGCATGGCTAGCTTTGGGCTAAAAGAGTGACAGTACACACCATTCAATAAATGCACCTGTGATAGTTGCCTTCTTGAAGGGGCAATGCCTCTTACAAAGCCCAGATTGCAGGCCTGGCAGCATTTCCAATAGGCCTAGTGCCAAAATGGGTTCTATATTTATCAGCAGAGATATGGCAAGGTGCACAACTGATTCATGACTCTTTCCTCTGTACAGTTCTGAGGTGCCTGGGAATTCCTACCAGGGTGGTCACGGGCTTCACATGGGCTCACAACACTAACAGCAGCCTGAGTGTGGATGAGTGTTATGATGAAGATGGGACACTGTTGACACGTGATAGGAGCACCCGTGTCTGGTGAGAAAACATGGCATGGCCCAAATAGGAGTTTGAGACAATGCCTAGGTTTAGGAAGTGGCAAAGGGAAAAAGAAAAAGGTAAACAACTGCAGGGAGATGGGTGGGAGACAGCTCAGCTGGGAGCCAGTCTACCTGATCTGTTCTTGAGAAATCCCAGCAACAAAAACTCACGAATGCCCTACTCCTAGAGGCTGTAAAGGAAGAATAATAGCCCAGTCCAACTGCAAAAACTCCATTTGTGTCAAAAACCACAGCCTTTGCCTTCCCCAACACGCACTGAGCTCTTCAGAAGGAGTATTAATTGACAGTGATTCAGCTAGAACTTTCCTGCACCTCAGGGCTCAATCCCCAGTATAAGCTGGTGATGGTGTCTCTCACAGGACCTTCCATGTTTGGAACGAATGCTGCATGGCTCGAAGGGACTTGCTACCAGAGTACAGTGGGTGGCAGGCAATGGATGCCACCTGCCAAGAGAAGAGCAAAGGTAATATCAAAAATAGGCTCGGGGAAAGGGGAATGAAATAAAGCAATTCAATATCTCTCCCTTCCCCAAGTTCCAGTGGGAAGATGCATAAAGACAGGGACTCAACTGATGGACTTCTAAGCAATTAATCATCTTTGATCTGCTGTTTGTACAGCTTGGGGAGCCCTAAGGGCTCCATCACAGCACAGCTCCCTGATGTCCTCCTAACCTAGATACTTCTACACTCCCAGTATGGGCCTACACTTATAGCATGGGCCTAGCTGGTAAGCCATTTGACTCTAACTTGACCACTTTTTCCTGTCAGGCCCATCCTTCTGTGGGCCAGCCCCTGTTCAAGCCATCAAGGAAGGAGAAACAGAAGTGGATTATGATGTCTGCTACTTCTTTGCTGCCATGAATGCCAAGTGCCAGGTCTGGATACACAAAGCAGATGACATCCTCAAGCCAGCTCTCGGTTGCATGAAGTACACTGGCAATAACATCAGCACCAAGAGTGTAGGCACTGAACACTGTGAGGGTATCACACACGACTACAAGCATCCTGAAGGTACAGGGTGGGCAAGAGGCTGAGCACATCCCCCACCAGAGTTACAAGTGAAGAGGAAGGGACAATAATGCAAGCCTATATCAGAGCATCATCCTCATCCACTTCTCATTATTTCCCCTTCCTGAATGACACAACACCTTACTCTTCCTGCCTGCAGAATGAAAGCACAGATCATACCCTCAGTTTGTGTCCTCCCTAATTACAGTAACCAGCTCTCTAGGAGGCCAGGAGAGGCCTTTTATCTACCAGGCACTTTCCTGTTTGGAAAACCTTCTTTCCTGACTTCTGCTACCGACAGAGTAAGAGTTCTTTACATTCACCTCCCAATACCCTTGTACTCCAGCTTTCTGAAAAGGAGTGCTATGCTCCCAGATATTATCCAAATCCCTCTCTCAAAAAGTAACTCCCCCTTCAGAATCTATTACTTAGGCCTGCTCTCCTCATCCAACTCTGCCATCTCATTTTAGCCTATGATATGGTGTCTCCTTGGCTGCAGTCCATCACAGGAGAACATAATACTGCTTGAACAATGAATTCTGGCAAAGCTTGCTATAGCAGCTTAAGTTATTACCACTTCCAGCTCTCACTTTTATTCTGATAGAAGTTGACATCAAACTGTTTCAAAAACCATAACAAATCTTTCCAAGTTAGAATCTTTCAGGCAAACCCAGATGTCCTGTCAGCCAAAATTCTTAAACTCCTCCAACCAGAAACACAACGGTATATCTATCTGACCTCTCAGAAACAGTTACCTACAGCACTGCCAGGATAATTCAACTCCATCCTTCTGCATTTACCTCTTTACACTAATAAGCATGAAAGAATACTAAAATGTGTGCTCCCTTTGTCACAGGTTCTCTTCAGGAAAAAGAGGTACTTGAGAAGGCTTATAAAAAGATAAAGGAAGTTGAGAAAACCAGCAGCAGCCACAAAACAGAGTCTAGCTCCATTCCTGCCCTTGAAGAGCCAGTTAACCTTTTTATCCACCTCCAATCTGAGAATTCTCTGCTACTGTGACAGGATGTCCCACTTTCCATTAAAGTGTTTAACCACAGTGGTGGAGAAAAAGCTATGCGCCTGGTACTTGGGGCCCAATCTCTACATTATAATGGTGTGCCCATTACCCAGCTTTGGAAGGAAGAGTTTCATTTCATCCTCAAAAGCAAAGAAGGTAAGGACTTTATTGGATGAATAGCTAGAAAAGTATATCTAGTCCTCTCACTCGAGGAAAAATGCACTTAGCCATCAGCTTACAAATGATTGGCTAGATAACTGGTTGTGGGTGATTCAAATCACCTTGGCAGGGGGGAGAGGAAAACAGGCTGCAGCACATGCTGTCTGAACACCTTAAAGATTTTGAATTTGCATATCCAGCTGGAAACACTTAGCTTTTAAATGGCTGCAGCTTTGAGTACGATGTTGAGCACTAAATGTTTTTCGGAGCCATGCAGACTAAGACTAGGCTGAACTTACCATCACTTGCACTGTCATCTATATTTCACTACTTTTTATTCCACCGAACACCCTGCAAGTCTTTGTGCCTTACTCACAGTACAGAAAAGAGATGGAAGAGAGCCATCTGCTAGGCTGACTGCCATACTGAGAGATGAGGACTCGTTCTAGATATACTTTGCCCAGGAAGAGATCAGCATTTGTAACCCCCCTCTCACTACTGAAGTTAGATCAATCTCGTTCTGTTACTGCAGCAGCAAGAAAACAGCTTTCATACAGCAGAAAAATTTTGCTGGGCTGAGTGGCTCTCCTCATGCTTTTTTTTTTTTTTTTTTTTTCCAAAACACTATGATACCAGTTTGGGAAGAGGTGAGTTGGGCTCCACTGTTGCATACAGTACTCCCACTTCTAGCTTGTCCATGCTTGAGTATAGGGAAATCTTGATGACTCCTAATTAATTCCCATGTCTGGAAGTCAGCGGCTGCAGTAGGAAACCACAGGAGAAGACTGTAGTTTAGAAGACAGTAACCTGGACTTTGCCTCTGCTGGCAACTGGCAGCCCAGGCCGAAACCCTCACCACAAAAAAAGCACTTCTCGCCTTTTTAATCTTAGAAGTTTCTCTTTCCTTCTCTCAGTTCCAATTCATTCCTTTCTCTCAACAGTTTCCAGAAAACATAGTACAGTACCAGCCAACCACAGCAGAGATTAGTTTCCTGAACCCTCTCAATGAACGCCTGGAGAAGTGTGTCATACTGGTTGCAGGGCGAGGGCTCATTTACAGACAGAGGAAGTACAGGTGAGTGCCAACTGACTGATCTAAAAATGATAAGTGGAAAAATAGACACAATACAAGCTAGAAACCCCAGCACAGGAAAAGCTGTCCCCCAGAATAAACAGGCAACAAGGTGGCAGGAAGATACTATGATAGCTAAAAGCCACAGGCATTCCCTTCGTTACTTACAGATAACACAGGAGATTTCAGTCACACTGAAAAAGAGAAAAGGCAGAGACTAGAATTTTAAACAGATGTTTAACACGGAAGTTGAAGCTAGTATGACATTTATGAAAGCTCTAGCTCCAAAGTCCTAGAAAGCAGAAGGAAGTCCCCTGCCAACATAAAGCATAACAAGAAAGTGCCACAAAACTAAGAACTGGGCAGAAATGCACATTAAATAAGACAGTTACAGGCCACTAAACCATACAATCTAGAAATTATTTTCTGTTTCTCTAACCACTTGAACATCTGTGAAATAAACCATACTGTGACATGCATTTCCACCCGTTACCCGCCAGCAATAAGAACAGTCCCTGGCTATAGTTTTAACAATCTCTTCCGTTTCTCTGCTGGAGAACCAGGCAAACCTGACTTAGCCAAGAGTCACCAAAAGAGACATGCTCTTCTCCACGTGAAAAAGTAACATTTCTCTCAAGAAACTGCATTAGGACAAAGTAACCCTATATGCCTCCATGAGGAGTTCAACCTTCCTGCCATAACTCCCTTCCAAACTGCTGTCAGATCAGAATTTCAGTGTGGTAGCTTAAATCACAACTTTTTTTTTTTTTTTGGCATCACACCCATGTCTAGCAACGAAGATCTACAATTGCACTATCATCTCCCCTCCTTGCTTTTCAGATTGGGCTCTGTGGAGCCTACAAGCACTCAACAGCTGCATATCCCGTTTACCTCCACCCAAGTAGGGCCCAGAAGACTCACTGCACATCTGGACTGCGTTCAACTCCAGAACCTGAAGAGCTACAAAAGTATCAACATTATGGCTGCCTGACACCCAACTCAGAACAGGTCCTGCTGTCCCCTTTTCAAAAGGGTGGTCACAATCTGTACCATGAGCTTAAGGTAGGCTCTCTCCATAGAAGAAACATACTAGAATGTAGGCAAGCATAGATTTTAACAGTTTGATTAAAGTTATGCTTAAAACCATGTTTGACTTTAATTATTTGTACAAACTCAACTCTCTCCCATCTGCTGTTATGCCTGCTCTCAGGTCTCATAAGCTGAACCTTACTCTGACAAAGATGGGCAAAACGTTCAAGCAGACACTGTTTCTCATCATGCATACTTGCTGAACCCACCACAGCGTAGTCAATTCTTTTCCTACCCATGGCAGAAGGATAACAGAACTTTAAGGTGATGACAGATGTTGCATTTTTCTAGAGATGCACTTACCCCTACTGGTCCTTGAAGTAGGTGAAGCAGTAAATAATACTTTCTGCTGCTTTCTCAGGGAATAGAAAAGAGGAAGATCATTCACTCTTCCCTACGCTTTGAAAGGAAGCAGGAACACTGCTGCATTTATTTTAATGGTTCATTTGGTGGTTTGCAAAAGGAGCAAGAGTCTTTCCTTCTGTGTACATCCTGCCACATGAAAACAGATAAAGCCACCCAAGCAAATCTAACAATATTTTATTGCTCTCTGTTTCCCCATGGTAGCTGTAACATCTGAAGAATGGGGCACATTCACAGCATTAAGATGCAGCACTGCGTCACGCCAGGAGTCCAAGCAAAAGTAACAGCTTTTGCAATAGCAAAGGGTGACTTCCCCCTTGGGAAACTTAGGAAAGTTCTGCCAAGTGACAGTAAAGTTCTCCCCTAAAAGAACTGTCCTCATCATTCTCCTATAGCTAGAGAATGGCCAGATAGATTCACTGGGAAAGCATATGCCAGAGCCAGTGGCAGCAACACATGTTGACATAGGAGAGCTAAAGTTCACCCTGTGTAAAGTTCTTGATTTTGTCCATGTTGTGCTCTACTGCACCAGTGAGAAATTGCACCCAGCCTTCCTCCGAGGGCGGACATACGTGGCTTGTCCTGCAAAAGTGGAGGAAATAAAAACATTAGGAAAGTCTCCAGGTGCCTTGTACCTGTGCACCTGTAGACTGGAGAAACCACCACACCACACGGCTATTGCAAAGTGCTGCATTACAACAGCAATAAAACAATACTGCTGTAGCCCCACAGAGTGCTTTGAGCAAGGAAGAAGCCACGTCCACGTCTCTAATCCCAAACTCTGACTCTCTTGTCTTCAACAGGACTACTTTTATTCCTACCATCCTCTTCCTATTCCCATCCCTTTGCTTCTAGATAATGTTCCAAAATACAAGCATTTACTATTTAGAAATGAGTCATCCTTGACAAGAGGAAGAATTATATCAGCTTTCACACCAGGGAACACACACTTGCAAACCGTAACTCATACTCACTTTGTAATCTCTAAGACTTTCTTTAATACTGACGCCAATTTAGCAGCCTAGAAAGAAAGAGAAGGGAAATTAAGTGAACCGTACACGGGAAGAAGGGGCCCAGCAGCATTGGAAAAGAAAAAGGCGTGTAGGAACGCTCAAAACAGCCAAGAACGAGTAAAACTGCCGCAGAGCCTGATGCAGGAAGAAACTAACATTGCCATGTTGGGAGTCTCTCCCAACCTACTGCTGGCTAGGACAAGTGAAAACAAAGACTTTTAAAAATATATATATATATTAAAATGCTTTCTTCTTAAAAAGATAAGCTTGTGAGAAATTGGCAATTGGAATTAAGACATGAAGTTATAAGTGACTGTTTGCAATCTGATAATCTGATACGAAGCAATGCTCAATATTTTATACCAAAAGATCAATGCACTGGCTAAATGCAAGAAATGAGAACTAAGAGTCAGAATAAACAATCTCAGATATGAGAAGGTATATACAGTCAATTTAGGTTTGAAGGGACCTCTGGAGGTCATCTAGTCCAACCTCCCATTCAAAGCAAGGCCTACCTCAAAGTTTAGTCAGGTTGCTCAGAGCCTTGCCAAGTTTTGAAAATCTCCACAGATGGAGATTCCAACGCTTCTCTGAGCAACCTCTTCCAGTGCTTAATCATGCTCAGTCACTGAACATCTCTACGGATTATAACACAGAGCCAACCCTAGAGTGGCCACGCTCTTCACTGAAGAAGTTGAGAAGAGAAACACATTTCCACCTCAAGCAAGCAAAGTGTACAAGAACCGAAGGGGACTCCTTATCCCTAAGAACTTGTTACTGATACAGTAACTGACACCCACCAGACACATGATCCCTCCAATTCAATTTTTCCTACAGCCAAGCAAGTAGATTTGCATGCAGGCTACAGATACTTACATTAAGTCGCACAGCCAGCTGATTCATAGGTGGATACATGCTCAGTGCCAACTCATCAACACTAGAACAGAAAAGAGGGGAGCCACCACTGAAGAAAAGTCCCTGACAGCACAAGTCACAGATTCTTGGTCAAAGCCTACACCCACCCTAAGTGCACGTCCGGAACTGCAGGGCATGACAATGAGACATCAGTTAAACCAATGGGATGCTTTTCACTGCCTTCTCAGGCTTCTGTGCCCACGCCCAGTTTATCCCCACTTGCAACCACAGCACTACCTCAAGGTGCAGAACACGTTCTTTTCCTAATCTGCACAACTCTCAACAGCCTATGCCATAATAGTGTCTTCACACACAGCTGCTTCCACCACCAGCTCACAGAATCAACGTCATATAGGTTTCCCTAATCCACTCTCTAGACTTCAGGAAACAGAGAGACTGCTCTGGAACAGAAAGCAACAAGGTGAGAACTGCTTACCTTGGACTGATCTCATTAGCAATGTCTGCAAGGTCATCCAGCTGAGCGATCTGCTCTGAAGAGCTAGCTTTTCCATGAGCCTTCACTACACCCAAGACCTTCTTCAGGCAAGCTTTGGAAGCCTTCATTAATCCCATGCAGGGGCCAAGCAGCTTCCGGTCAGCTTCTGACCAGTAGGTATCTCTGTTGCCCCGAAAACCCAGCTCCTCATCTTCCATGATATCACTGTAGGGGTCTCGCCCTTCCACCAGAGCCTGAGAACACAGATGCATTGAAAACCCAGGGCCTAACATCCATTACGAGAGTACCCAGCAGAAAAGGGAAAATATTATCTAGAAATCATACACATAATTTATGGAGGAATCTCTCTCCCACCAGTATCTCTGTTGCCCAAATCTGTTAATCCCCATGGGATCAGTTTAAGAAGAAACAACTCCCTGCTCCAACTCAACAGAGTGAGCAGCAAGAATCTGCATTCTTACATCAGCCTAGAACCACCCACCCACATTCATGGACACGGCTTCATGAAAGCCATATAAAAGGTAGCAGGACCTGACTTAGGTTTTAAAACTCATTAAGATCCAGGCAACATAAGAACCTATCAAATTCAGTTCAAAGCCTGTCTATAAAACCATCCCTGTGTTCTATCACTGCAACCCGTCACTGCAAACTTTTCAAAGGCTTAGGGCCTTCCTTACATGTTCCATCTCTTCCAGAGCATCCTTGACCACACCTAGATATGCAGCTAGAGCTGACACAACTGCTGCCTGGTTATCTGCAAAAGTAAAAGGAGGAAAAATCTGACACCGTACTGATTTAAGTCAGTTCCCAAGAACACTCACCTAGGTTTGAGATCACTAGACCTTGAGACCACAGGATCAAGCATTTTTGCAGAGCTCAGAGCTGTGTCGCTGCCATGCAAAGAACCTGATCTCGCTGCCAAGCTCAATACACTTCAAAGAACAATAAGGTTTTGCAAAATGAGCAAGTCTCCACTGTCCTTGCTACAATATCCCTCACAAGGACTATGGATACTCCCAAGACCACATATCGTAGTTCATTTTTTTTGCATACACGGTACTCACCTTGTGGCAGGTTGGATGCTTGCTCACATGCCTCCCACACACTACCAGTTGATATAAGCTGTTCCTGAGTCAAGCTGAAACAAATCAGAGCCACTCAAAGTTGGAATAAGTAACACCGCCCTGCTAAACTGTGTTTTTCTTTTCTGCAATCACCAAGCAGCTTGTCATTGGCATCTCGCATCTGTGCAAAGCAATAGATGCTGGTTCCTATTGAGTTTAATTACTATTTGGAAAAAGGAGCAGAAACCTCCACAGAGGCCTCTCAAGGTGCCTGTGCCTACATATCTTCCAGAATCTATCCAGATCAGCAGTCTAGAGATTGCTGCCCTATGCCTAAGGCCAGTGGTCTGTAATCAGTAAAAAGAGGTTCCATAATATCTCCCAGAAAGCACAGTGTTCCGGTAACTAGCTTTAGAAAGTCAAGCAATCTTTGTGTACGACAATCCACTTCAAGGGCAAGAACCGCCCACCAGCGCAAACACTACCCCAGCACCTTCACGGGAATGCTGCTCCATGCTCCTTTCCTTGCCACAGATAGGATGAAAATCTATTCTCTCCGTACAGAAAGGTACCCCACTTGGTTACTGAGTACTGTCAGGGTCTTGAGGGGATTCTACCCTCCTAGGACTTTAGATGGCTCAGTTAAGGAGTTTATCTGGCTAAGTCCAAGGTCAGTTCTTTTACTATTAAGAGCTCTTATGAAGAAAGTTAGTGAGGCCCAGTCCCTCCTTCCCCTAGAAGATACTTTCAAGCTGAGGTTCTCTGGCTGGGCCCTGTCTGTGCTACATCATAGCTGTGTGGTGGCTATGTCTGCACCCAGTCTCATATCCCCTCGATTCCGACCCCGATCCTGACTTGACTTCCTGACTTGACCTTGGACCCAATTCACCACTGACCCAACTGGGCAATCATTGGTCTGTGTCTAACCTTGTTTACTGTTTCAGGATCTGATCCTGACCATGACTTGCCAGCTTGACTCTCCAGCTTGACCTCAAACGTACCTTGTCGCTATAGACTTGTTTGAGGATCTGAACTCTCAACTGAACGCGGCCACCTTCACCACGCCTGCTCTGCTCAATCAGATACTGTGAGACTGGGCCCTTGCTGGTGAGGGCATTGCCTCTGCCTGCCTTATAACCATGGTCGGCTCCTGGCTCCCCCCTTCCCTTTGGGAGCAGCCTGCACTTGCTGCCCCCTGGCAAGTATACTTGTAATGTTTTCTCTCTTCTTTCTGGAAAAGCACTACCTCTCCAATGGAGTATTGAGAATTGTTTCTGTGAGCTGGATCATTCCTTCCACTACCTCAGTAGTAGCATCTCGTACCATCTTCCGAAGAGTAGTACCTGGTTGAGATTGAGAAAAGAGCAACGATGTTGCAACAAAAAGACAGCAACGACAGAAAGCAACTGCCAAAGATGAACACACAGGCAGCTCCATTCATGCAGACACATGGTATAAATAAAGTTACAGGTATTTTGAAGGAAGCGATGTTTGTTCCTGAGTTTCAAAAGGACTTTGGGCAAAATCTCAACGTTTTATAAATACGAACACTCAATCAACTATACCTCTTCCTACATTATCACTCTTCCACAGCTGGAGATCCGCAGAAGTAGACAGTGGAGTGGTTCACTCACAACCATGTTGCAAGTCTATGGAATAGCTGACAATGGGACTCTCTTTGCTCATGAAAACTTGATTTCCTGTAGATGCCAGGTCTCCTACCGGGCTCTGAGATACTGGGCTTCATCATACAGTGATGAAAGAACTGGCACTGCCCTGCTGTTACCATCTCACCTTGGCCTTTAGGGAGCGAGTAGTACACTGTGGCAACTGCAAGAATCGCATTTTGGACGTCTTCACTCAGCTTCCGACAATCCTAAAAACGGATAGGCAAAAAGATTAACCAGGAAAAGTGCATTGCTGCGTTCCACTTAGAAAGTCTCACAAGCAACCATTTAAATCCAGATTACTTTGAAAAAAGACTGTAGGGAAGCACAGCAATGGCCAGCTGGCTCAAGAAACAAATACAGCACAATGGTAAGTTACGGCATTTAAGCGTTTCTGAAGTCTACAAGCACAGAACAGAGTAATTTGCTAGAGTTGCAGACTCATTGTATGCATCATGAATTTCCTCACAGTTTAGTAACAGAAAACACCCGCTAGTCTGGTGGTTACGCATCAGTGAGGAAGAAGCGGCTTAGATCACTGTTCTGAACTGGTGGTCTTTTTTCCCCTCTTTCAAGCACAGGTGTGTTAAAACTTCTCTCAATTAACAGCAAAAACACTTCCATTCTTAGTTAGACCTAAGATCCACATTGCCCAATATACTGTCTCCACCAGCAAGCAGTTGTACGTGCCAAATAATGTTAAAGAAAGGAATATAAGAATACTTCTATTTGGTATACCCCTCCCAAATTCCAGAAATTAGCTCTTTAGACAATTTTTGAACTGGATTAATACATTCTGCAACCTATAGTCCACGCAAATGTGCCCTGTTTACATTAAATCCAACGACTCTATTTTAGTCTAGCCAGTCAGGAGATATCTGAAACTTATCATATGCACTGCAATTTCACACTCTGTGGGGGCTTTCACACACCTCTGCAGAAGGCAGTGGAGGCCTTGAGAATGCAAGACTCAGCTTCGTAGCTTCCTGTGATGTTGCTTTGAATGTCTGACCTAAGAATGATCCAATGGGAAAAAGACATTTATCAGGATCTTAAGTAAAAGATGAAAAAACAGAGCAGCTAGATGAGCAACGTCCTCTCTGATGCTGCTTTGCCCTAACATCTACTCTCTGATTACTGTCTCTCACTTCTAAATATGACAAGAATGTAAGCTACAGCAGAGGAAAAAAAATCCACATTGCAGCTGTGTCACACTAAACTGTCCATTCTACTTTTTTACTTAGCTGGTTCTGAAATCCATTATCACATTTTGTCACCTAGCCCATGCTACCTTTACCAGGACACGCCAGGAAGCTTTAACAGAGACCAAAGCCTTTAAAAAGCTCGGTCATGACGATCACTCCATACTGCCCACTGCTTTGTCAATGACACCAGGAAATCGAGGACGAGGGCAGGAGCCTTGACTGGAGACTTTCCTGGTGACCTCTCTTGCAACTCATAGCCGTGCCATGTAACAGCACCACGATGTCCCAGCTCTGCCACTGACACCACCCACAAAAACTGCTAAACGTGTCTGCCCAGTGCCTGCCCCTGCCCAGCCCAGCTCTGTCCCCCATGGTGGCCTGGCCCTGCTCCAGCCCCGGCCCCGCTCTGCTCCGCGCAGCAGCCCGACCCAGCGCCGCCCTAGCCCGGCCCGCTCCGTACCGAGCGCGTCCCAGAAGCGCGGCGGCTCGAACGGCTCGCGGCCCTCGCCCG